GGCTAAATAAATTTTTTGTGTGTGTTTACACTCCATGCCCCCTCCTGGGTGAACCTACTTACCTGAAACCATCACGAATCTGTAAACCAGGTGAAGGGAAAACTTAGTGGAACAAAATTGAAGGGAGAATCATTCCTTCAGGTTAATAACGTCCCGAAATGTGTATATGGAATTTTTAGAGAACCCAGTATATGAAGATAGATTTAGGCGATTAGAGAAAGAACGATGTGACCCCAGTTCAAGTCCATGGCTGAGGGTGGTATCAGCAAATCACTAAGAAGTAGCCCTTTGGTCAGGGCGGCAGATTCCTTAGGAGTGCCAGGTTCTGAATCTGCTGCTGTCAATAGCCCAACCCACGCTGTCACCCAAAGTGGCTCTGCGTGCATTTCATCCTTGACACTGGAGAAGTTCAGTTGCAGAAGATATTAAAACACTGAGTTTCAGTGCCTGAAGCACCTCATACTGTCTGCATCCTCTCTCATTTCATCTGTTTCCAGGTCGACGGCCAGACCAAGTCCTCCCCAGTGCCGATGGCATTCGAGGGTTTCCAGTTGTTCTTCAGCAAATTAGCAAGATTCTTAATTACCCATTTATGTCAGCTGGACAAGCTAAGTCAGGTAAGTTGCCCCCTCCCCTTTCTTTTCCTCCCTGACTTGGAACATTAAGTGGGCAGCAGACCGACTTCGTCTTTCTTGTCTGCTTTCCATAGAGGCTGTGGAAGAAAAGGGAGGAGCCCCTCCCCGGTGCAGCATCACCGAGCTGCTTCAGGTGTGCTGGCCCAGCCTGACGGAGGACTGTGTTGCCAGCCACACCGCCCTCTCCCAGCAGCTGGAGCAGGTCCTTCAGTCACTGAGAGAGGCACTAACTCTGCCAGGTACAGGCTGTTTGCTCAGGGACAGACACGCGGATCGGGGCCAAGCTGGGGAGAGGAAACAGCTGAGAGTGAAGGGCACTCCAGAGCTGAGGCTTAGAGCTCCACACTGGGAGCCAGCAGCCCTAGAGCTAGCCAGGGCACAGCTCAAAGCTGAACTTTACCTCCTCTCATTAAAGAATGGCTAACACTCCACTAGCTGGTACATGCTATCGTTCCTGTTGAGAAGCAGGTACTTAGTAAGTACTGATTAACCCTTCCCAAGAGATCACCATGCTCTTCATAAAGCTATGTCACCCAGAGGCAGCGGGTGAAAACCCAACTGTATGCCCTGATTTCTTTAGATGCAAAGGTCTTCTTGGCTGAGAATCACTTGTCCAGATAACCAAATTAGGATTTTATGTCTCCCCTGTAAGTATAGTATCCAAACTACATGGTACCCTGTGGCAGTACATAGAAGACTTAGTTTGTATTTTTGTTTTTTTTGGTACTGGGAATCACGCTTGCCAGGCAGGTGCTGTGCCTCTGAGCTAAATCCCTGACCCCAGAAGAGTTAGTTTTACATATTGGCTCAAGGAATTGACCCAGTTCTGAATGCACAGACTAAAGCCTGTGTCCCTTCCCCTACTGTAACCCCTCTCAGAGCCCAGGAGTACTCCACTTTCTTCCCTGGTGGAGCAGGCATCCCAGAAAGCTCCTGAGGCCGAGGCCCACCCTGTGTACATCCAGACTCAGCTCCTGCAGAAGAATCTTGGCAAACAGACCCCAGCAGGCAGCAGACAGACTGACTACGTGGGCACCTTCGTCAGCTACTGTAGCACCTTGGCTGCTGTTCTCCTTCAGAGTTTGAGCTCTGAGCCTGGTAAGTACCAAGAAAGAGAAACTAGAAGTCAAAACTGGCTTGTAATTACATAGAGCAAGGAGGAAGAGTGGTGAACTAGTGAGAGGTTCTGGGATTTAATAAGAGCCGAGGATATGAGATTTGTAAGGTTCTCCTCTTTCGCATGTCTGTCCGTTTTATGCATTGTTATGCTAAGTACAGTTGTACAGCACATGGGAGTGCTTAATAAAATCTCACGGAATTAGTGACTCACGAATATCTCTGTCAGACCTTGGGTCCATTTTGGATTTGAGGACCCAAGAGAGGAATCAAGTTTTTTAAAGTACCAGATTCTTATTTGAGTGCATAGAGCAAGTACAAGGCGAGCATCCATAACTTGAAAATCTGAAATTCTAAATACTTCAAAATCAAAACCTTTTTGCACACCAACCTGATGTCGTAAGTGGGGGATTCCACATTTGACAGCTTGTAGTTAAAATAAGGTACACTACAAATGTTGCATAAAATTATCTTCAGGCCATGTGTATAAGATGTAAATGAAACTTTAAGAAGTTTCATGTTTAGACTTGGGTCCCCTCCTCATGGTATATCATTATGTATATGCAAACATTCCAAAATCCAAAACACTTCTGGTCCCAAGCATTTTATTTTATTTTATTTTATTTATTTTTTTGGTACCAGGAATCAAACTGATGACCTCAGGCTTTCTAGGCAAGTGCTTAAGCCACTGAGCTGTACCCCCAGCCCAAAATTTTTTACTTTGATTTTTTTTTTTTATTTTTTTATTTTTTTATTTTTTGGTACCACGAATCGAACTCAAGACCTTGCACTTGCCAGGCAGGCTCTTATGCCACTGAGCTGTATCCCCAGCCCCCAAGCATTTTAGATATGGGATACTCAACCCGTATAGCACGCATTTCATTCAGGTTGAAGTGAGTAAGAACAAGTTCTCTATGGCTGGACCTGCCCACTAAGTTTGTCCAGGTTGAAGTCTTTAAAACAGTGGTCAGGTGAAGGTAAACTTGTGGTCAGTGTCATGTTGAGAATACCCCTTACCTAGCATGAATCATGTCAGAATACCCTTACCTAGTTCTCCGTATTGTCATCATGTACTTTTTTTTAATCAGCCCTTGGAAACAGGGTTCTGAGCTGTTATGGTCAGTGGTGTAAACAAAGGCCAATTTCTCTACCTTTGCAGAGCACATAGAGGTCAAGGTAGGAAATCCCTTTGTTCTCCTGCAGCAGAGTCCTTCCCAGCTTGTGTCGCATCTCCTGCTTGAGAGACAAGTTCCACCAGACAGGTAGGGAAGCACTGCCATGGAAGCTAGCAGATTGCTTCATCAGCAAAACCTCACTGGATTATGCTCGGGGTCACCACAGAGAGTGAAGATTTTTCTAGACATTTATTCTACACAGTATGTTGAAATTCAGTATTTATTTTTCTTGCCACTGCTAACATGTTCGTTACAAATATGAGACTTACGGATGAATCTTTTTTTTTTTTTTTTTTTTGGTTTTTGGTTTTTCTCCAGAACCAGGAACCGAACTCACGACCTTGCGCTTGCCAGGCAGGCGCTTTTTGCCACTGAGCTAAATCCCCAGCCCCGGATGAATCTTTATATATAGGCAAAAATCTAAAAGTTTGATATCAATAGTTGTGTAGGCTGGAAGACAGTCAACAGTCTGAGGGGTTGCTGGTGGATTATAAATTGGTATGGCCTTGGTGAGGGAGCAATTTGTCAGCATCAAGGTTACAAATTCATATTCCCTTATCCTGCAACTTTATTAGACATATGAAAAGTGCTGTATGTACAACAGATCTGAAGACCCCACTGTCCACTAACAGATAAGTTAAGTTATGGTTAAGACACATAGTGAAAGGCTTCATAGCTGTAAGATATCATGAGGACCCTTTCTATAGAAGGTAAGGACAGATCTCTTAGATATGTTATTCAGCATGGGGCAGAGTAGTATGTCTAATAAGTGAGTGTGTGTGTGTGTGTGTGTGTGTGTGTGTGTGTTAAAAAGAAGAGACCAGGCATGGTGGTGCACACCCTGTAATCCCAGCACTTGGAAGGATGAGGCAGGAGGATCACGAGTTAGAGCCCAGCCTGGTGAATTCAAGAGTGAATTCAAGGCCAGCCTGAACGATATAACAAGTTCCTGTCTACCAAAAACAAAAACAAACAAACAAAAACCTAACTTATTACTGGGCATGATGGTGCATACCCGTAATCCCAGCACTTAGGAGGCTGAGACAGAAGGATTGTGACAAGTATGGGGCCAGCCTGGGCTACACAAGGAGTTCAAGCCCAGCCTAAACTATATAGTGAGTCCTTGTCTAAAAAAAAAAAAAACCAGAGCTATCTAGAAGTGCAGCTCAGGTAGGGTGCTTACTTAGCATGTGTGAGGCCCTGGGTTCAATCTCCAGCGTTGCAAAAATACGGCAGGGGAGGCAAATGCTTTCATTTACATTTGCTGTCTAAGCATAAAGAAATTGTAAGATTGATTGATGACGTCCATGTATTCAGGTTCTGTGTGCCCTCTGCTTCTCTCCCTCCAGGCTGGCAGCCCTTCTGGCCCGAGAGGGTCTCAGCCTAAGTGTGCCACAGGTTATCATCAACTGCTGCTGTGAGCCCCTTACTCTTTGCTCCTCTCTGCAAAGCCAGCAGACATCATCCCTCCTGACCCAGCTGGGTGTCCTGGCCCAGCAGTACACCTCCCACTTCCTGGATGACCTTCCTCTCTCTGCACCGAGCTCCCCTAGGCCAACCAAGAATCCCACACCGGAGAAGAAGCCCTGCCCCTCCCCAAAGGACTCATCGCCCCCAGCCCTCACCTCCTCTGCCTTGGCCTTCCTTAAATCCTGCTCGAAGCTACTGTCTACAGTGGCCTGCCTTGGGACTTCCCAGGGGTCAAAGGTCAGCAAGCCCAGCTTGTCGTGGAAGGAGCTTCGTGGACGCAGGGAGGTGCCTCTGACTGCGGGGCAGGTGGCCCGAGAGTGTGAGCACCTCCTGGAACAGTTCCCTATGCTCGAGGCCTCCCTGTTGGCTGCCTGGGAGCCCCTCCGTGGGTCCTCTGAGCCAGGAAAGAGTCTGGCAGCCAGTCTGTGTGGTCAGGCCCAACTGTCTACTGTGCTCCTGGGCCTGCATTCGCCCCTTGCCCTGGACGTGCTCACCGAGGCCTTTGAGGAAGCCCTGGTGGCCAGAGATTGGGCACGGGCCCTTCAGCTCATCGATGTGTACGGGCGTGATGTAGATGGTCTGAGCAACATAAGGGATGCGGTCCTGAGCTGTGCAGTGGCGTGTGGTGAGCAGAAGGCTATGCCTTTCTCTTTCATGGGTGGTAACAGTAATATTTAGCATTCACTGTCAGTTTATCTCACATTTAATTCTTATAATTACTCTAGAGAAAAATGCCAGATAACCTCATTTTACTGAGAGGAGACCAAGGCCTGGAGAAGTCAGAGAACTTGCCCAGACTACTAAGCGGTGGAGAAGAGCTTAGAACCCGTGTATCTGCCCTTGAATGGGCATTTGGAACAGTAGCCAATATTCTCAGTCCTGCATCTCAGAATCACTCTAAAATCCCACAAAGAACAAGTAACATGGGAACCACCCTTAGGAGCCCAGGATAAAGTTGAAGCTAGGGATCACTTTACAACAGGGGTCAGCAAACTCTGTAAATAAATAAATAAGCTGTGCCAGCTTTATTGCAACCACTTGCTTTGACCATTGTAGCATGAAAACAGCCATAGTCTATACATGAAAGAGTGAACGTAGCTGCATTCTGATGAAACTTCATTTACACAACAAAGTGCAGGCCTGTGTGACAACCCTGCTTTTATTTTATTTTATCTTTTTGAGATAGGGTCTCACTATGCAGTTCAGACTGGCCTTGAGCTCATTTTGTAGCCCAGGCTGGTCTTCAACTTGTAAGGTTCCTCCTACCTCAGCCTCCTGAGAGCTGGGATTACAGGCATGTGCCACCATGCCTGACAGATAACCCTGCTTTAAAAGCTACCCTGGAAGCCAAGAGGGAGAGTGTATATTGTAATGCCAGCAATCTGGAAGGCTAAGAGCAAGAGGTTTCACAAGTTTGATCCCAGCCTGACAATTTAGTGACTAGTGAGACCCTGCCTCAAAATAAAAAAGGCCTGGGGCTATTGCTCAGGGTGAAGTCTCTGGGTTCAATTCCCAGTACCCACCACCATACATACAAAAGCTCCCAAGGAGGTTTTGACATATAACCAGAATGGAAAGCCAGTGACCTACAACACTGCATAAGGGAGAGCAAGAGTAGGGTGTGTTGTAGGGAATGGCTTAAGTATCAGGTTTGACTGCCATTCAGAAAGTAGAAAATCCCTTCTGAAGAAGGTGGATAAATCCACTGAAAGGCTGTAGTCATAATTGCTTGAAGCCTGCTTTTTGTAACTCCAAGATTATAGCAACAAAATGGGTATGAGGGAGAAGATCTACTGAGGAGTAAGACAGCAGATCCAAGGAAAGAAACTTTACCTGAAATAACTTTCAAGTAGTTATATGTGATGCAGAGTGGAAACTGCAGGGAAAACTAGAAGAGCCATTGATGAATTTGAAAAAGTGCTATACGTCCTGCATGCCAAACATGGAAGACTTCCTCTTCTGTTCCTTCCTTCCTCCCTCCCTCCTTTCCTTCCTTCCTTCTTTCCTTCCTTCCTTCCTTTTCTCTCCTCTCCTTTGTCCTTCCCCACTTCTTTCTGTTCCAAAGGTTCTGTGACTATGATCAGATCTACATAAGGAACATGTAAGATCTCTCCTTGTCATACATTGGTTCCAAGTGTAAAAAGTAGTTAAGGTCACATGGACCTTAAAGATCTGCCTAGCCCCTGTTTAATGAGAGCAAACAAAGCCCACTCTTAAGAAGTAACTCAGGCTGTTGAACTCTTCCAATGTCAGTTTTGCTGCCTCTGGGTATCTTTTCTGTCTTACAGACAAGGAAGGTTGGCACTACCTGTTTCCTGTGGAGGATGCGTCTCTGAGAAGTCAGCTGGCCCTACGCTTTGTGGATCGGTGGCCCTTGGAGTCGTGCCTGGAGATCTTGGCCTACTGCATTTCAGACACAGCTGTCCAAGAAGAACTAAAGTCTGAGCTGCAGAAGAAGCAGGGGGAGCTTCAAGTATATCAAAAGGTATGGGCCCTGGCATCAAGAGAAGGAAACAGGCTTCTCCTCCTGTGATAGACCTCAGCCTATTCTCATATGATGGACTATTTTAAGAAGCAGAAAATGGTGGTGGTGCATGTCTGCCATCCCAGCACTCAGAGAGGCTGAGGTACAAGGTTCCAAATTTGAGCCTAGCCAGACCAATTTACCAACTAAATTTTAGCAAGATCCTGTCTTTTTTTTTTTCTCCACACCTTTAATCTAAATCCCTTTATGGCACCCAGCCTCCCCTCCACAGGAGCTGTGGAGTTCTGCCATAATCTAGCAATTCCTTTTTTTTGCCTTTTTGAGACAGGGTCTTGCTATGCAGTTCAGGCTGGCCTCGAACTCACAATGATCCTCCTGCCTCAGCCTCCCAAGTGCTGGGATTACAGGCGTGGTGGGATTCCAGCTGTATCAATTCCTGTGTTTGCTTCTGCCTTTATTTTTTTCACTCTTTCCTGGTCTTCTCAGCTTACACACATGTTCAAGTCTTCTGAGCTTTGTTGGACTTTGGGACTTCATTAAGTACTGGCTCTTTTTTGAAGTGTTTCTTAGTTTTCCTGGCCAGATCAGATTTTAAAAGTAGGCCTGCTAGCAATACATGCTATTTTGCCTTCCATCCTTCAACACACCTGCATTAAGGGCTTTTTTTGGATCTACTTCATGAGAGTACAGTGAAGTCCATTTGAAGGCAGCCAGGAGGACCTGGCTAACATGAGGCTTTGTGCTTCACTTACCGGGCTGGGCCCCAGCATCCTCCTTCCCCAGTCTCCTGTCCGCAGGTGACTGGCTTGTACCCATCTTTCCCCAGCCGCTGCATAGTGCTCGGGGGGCCATGCCGCCCCTCCAGCCCCTGGCCAGCTCAGGGCAGAGGCCAAGGTTCATGCAAGATCCTATCTTAAAAGTTAAAAAAAAAAAATTTAAAAAGGAAAGAAAATCCTGGTTTGGCACATGCCTGTAATCCCAGTACTTGGGCTGAGACAGGAAGATTGCTGCAAGTTTGAGGCGAAGCTGCATAGTGAGTTCAAGGCCAACCTGAACTGCATAACAAGATTCTGTCTCAAAACACTAAAAAAAGGAAAAAAAGACTCAGTGTAAAGGCCTTGTGACCCATCCCCGGTACCCTGCCCCCAAAAAAGAATAAAAAGGAACAGAAATCTAGACTTGGCTTTTGCTGTGCATCAGACTTCTATTTGTTTGTTTGTTTGCTTTTCTGAGACAAGGTCTCACAATGTATTTCAGGCTGGCCTTCAACTCTCTATGTAGTCCAGGTTGGTCTTGAACTCATGGTGACCCTCCTGTCTCAGCCTCCCAAGTGCTGAGAATATAGACGTGCGCCACCATGCCCGACACAGGCTTCTATTTTTACATGAACAAAGAAGGCCTCCCATCTGGCTTCTGTGTTATCTACTCTTATTATTGTAATTTGCATCAAACAAGGATAATAGTTACAAATAATATTTGCATCAAGCAAAGATAAAAATAACAAAATTAACATTGGAATAGTGTTCTGCAGTCTTCAAAGGTTTCACATGTATATTTGACCTCTGTGTATATTTTATGTATATTATGTCTTGAAGACTTTTTTTTTTTTAAGACTTTCAAAATGAAACTAAATATTCAGAGTCGTTTTAAAAGGATGCATGGCTGTGAAAGCTTCAAAAGTGAAAGGTTTTTATGGAACACCTGTTATATCCAAGCTGAAGAGGCTCAGGGAGACAAATTCAGGGGCTCAGCCACATGACACGTGTATAACACATGCTTATTTCCCCGGGTCCTCGGAACAAAATAGTCTCGAGCCTCACCAGGGAAAATGAAAATTGCAGAGGAAAAGGCTACTCTTTCTACGTCTCTTCAGCAACTTTCACGCAAAGCTAAAATGCTGCAAGAAAAGTGAGTCACAGACCACTCAAGCCAGAAGAATCTCATGGGTGGAGATGGACGAGCTTCACGCCTCTGAAAACTCTCCTCACTAGGGAAAGGCCCTGGTCCTGCCCTCTCATTCAGCCTTTGGTCCCTAAGGAGTTCAGTCTCATGAAGCAATCTCTACCCTGTTAGTTCTCTTTTCTGGCAGGTAGCTCGATTTGGGGCAGAGATCGCTTGAAACATCAGAGACTTGTTCACAGAAGGAGAAGCAGTGGTGTGGTTTGATTGGTTTTCCTGTCTTTCCTTAGATTCTGGGCTTGCAGGAACCTCCAGCCTGGTGCGACTGGCAGACCCTGAGGAGCTGCTGTGTTTCGGACCCACCATCTGTCATGAACATGATTCTAGAAGCGCAGGTACCGTTGCCCTTTTCATCCCCCTCCCAAGCTGCAACTCCCGGTTGTGTGGACTCCTTTCTCTTTCTTTTACAGCTATGCCACATTGTTTTTCCTTTTCCTTAACTGGACACTTGACAGCTGTCTTGGTCCACTTTGTTGGTGCTTGGACAGAACACCACACCCATCATCCACAACTTAAGAGAGGAAAGGGCTATTTTGGCTCATGGCTACAGTCCATGGCCAGCTGGGTCCAGGGCAGAAATGGCACACGGGAAGGGCCTGGAGGAGCAAAGTGGCTCCTATCCTGGCAGCCAGGAAGTAGAAAAAACAGTGGAGCGAGGGAGAGAGATACACATTTCCATGGCACACTGCTGGTGGCCCACCTCCTAACAGCACGTGAACTGTGAATCCCAGAGGGACCAATCAGCCAGTGAGCCTAGCACCCCCACGAGCCAGTCACCTTCCAAACACATGGGACTTTGAGGGGACATTTCAAATCCAAACCATCATGCCAGCGCACAGGTAAGTGTAGAGGATATTACAAATGCCACTCTTGTACTCTGACCCCTGCATTCATATGTGAGATTTTCTACACTGTGTTCTAGGTACAGAATGTATACCTACAAGTTAGATTTCCTCATCATCCTCACCTTTACTCAGTGATACCAAATCCCTCTAAACATCAGTTCATTGTTCCTATCCCTCTGTTTCCTTGCCAGCTTTTTATAATGTCTAGCTTTCCACATTTTCCCCAAGGATGGTCTCCCATTGTTTCAATTTTCATGTTCTTGTTTAGAAATGAACGTGAATCTTTGTCCTTTATTTATTGGCCATTTGAGTGTTAACTAAACCTTTCTAGCAGCTGATAGACCAAAGTTCAAAACGTTAATGCTCGTTCACATGTTCATTCATTTCATAAACATTTACTGACTGCAGCCGGTCACTATGCCAGATGGTAATAAGACAAAGATGATTAATTTCACTTCCTGCCCTGAAGTGACTCACATTTTAGAGGAATGATGTAAGATGCACCCTAAGATGGTTTTGCAAAATAATATGTCAGGTGTCAGGCAGGGCACCTGACACAGCCTGAGAAACAAGGAATCATCCAGAAGAAGGTAGTGCAGGTAGAGGTATGGGAATGCATATACCACCATGTTGGAATATTTGGGCTAAGTCCTGGGAATTCCATCCTTGGAGACTTTAATGTAGTGTTCATGAGCTGGAGGTGGTGAAGTATAAGGGAGACATGATGGAATCTAACCGCCGCCCCAATCTTTGCGCAGCTTATATAATGGTTGACAGAATTTTTATTTTTTCATATTGACTTCATTGATAAACTTTTAAAATAGGGAATTTTTTAATTAAAACAATTTTTTTCTTTTTATGATACTAGGGATTGAATTCAGAACCTTTACACCAAGCTACAGCCCTTGTCCTTTTTATCTTTTTTTTTTTTTTTTTGAGATAGGGTTTTGCTAAACTAAATTGCCCAAACTGGACTTGATATTGCAGTCCTCCTGCCTCAGCCTCCAGAGTGTTGAGATTATAGATTTGTGCCATCAGGCCCTGCAACCAATCCAGTTTTTTTATTTATTTCGGTGTAGGAGGTTGAATCCAGGGTCTTGTGCATACTAGGCAAGCACTCTGCCCCTGGGCTCTACTCCCAACCTCCCCCAACCCTTTTAAATAATTTTATTTTGAGACAGGTTCTTACTAAATTGCCCAGGCTGGCCTGGACCTTGCAATTTTTCTGCCTCAGCCTCTCAGAGTGCTGGGATTGCAGATGTGCACCATCATCCTCAGCTTTTTGACTTTTTGGAAGTCTGACAACACTAGGGTGTCACATTCATGTTGCTGCAATCAGAGCTGAGCAAGTGCTGTCTCCACTGAAAAAAGTCATCTCACTTTTTCCACTCCCTTAGTATTTCCCCAGGGCTGACACACAGTCACCATGTAGCATTTGCTTCTCTTCCTTTTAGTAGAGCAAAGAGGAAAATGAAATTAGCAATCAGCCTGCTTCAGTAATTCTCATACCGGGGCTGGGGATTTAGCTCAGCAGCACAGCGCCTGCCTGGCAAGCGCAAGATCGTGAATTCGATTCCCGGTACCAGAAAAAAAAAAAATTCTCATACCTTACCTTGTTCGTCTGCTCCTTTATGATCTCACTACAACCCCATCAGTACTGTGCTTACCAAATGTTCTGGGGCTTAGCAGACTTAACACAGCTGAAAAAACCAGGCAAAAGCTGGAGAAGTGACAAGCTGGTAACTTGAAGGAATTGAAGCCACGTGTGTTTCCTTCCAGGAGTATGAGCTGTGTGAGGACTGGGGCCGTTTGTACCCCATTCCAAGGGAACATTTAATCAGCTTACATCAGAAGCATCTTCTCCACCTTTTAGAGAGAAAAGACCATGACAAGGCTCTGCAGGTAAGCTGATTCTTCCCATTCTTCATGTGAGGAAGGACAGGAAGTGTAGTCAAATCCAGTGGCTTTTTTCATGCTGAATCCATTGTAAAGTATTTGCCATCATAGACCTGCTCTTTGTGTCCTTCGGCATCAGTTATAGTCACCTCAAGGTGTTCGGCCTTGCGTTAACTTCCAGGTGGAGCATCTGGGTCCAGGATTTTGCTCAGCGGTGATCCTACCAAAGCCATTGCTCCTTGCTGAAACTATGGAGTTGGTGATAAATGAATACAGAGAAAGGATTAGCCAAAATGAATAAACCCTAAAATTCCTTTCTCAAACCAAACAAGGCTGGCCTGAGAGTTCCTTTGCAGGCCTCACCCTCTTCTACCCTTCTCCTGCAACAGCTCCTACAAAGAATTCCCGACCCCACCATGTGCCTTGAGGTCACAGAGCAGTCCCTCGACCAGCACCCTAGCTTGGCCACCTCACACTTCTTGGCCACCTACCTCACCAGTCACTTCTATGGAGAGCTGACTTCTGCTCGACACGGTGAAATCCAGGCCCTGTACATGGGATCCAAGGTGAGGAGGAAAGTGGCTTTGGGGAAAGCCTGCCTGATAGGGGTGCTGGCGCCGTCTGTACCCCATTCCATGGGAACGCTTATTCAGCTTATAGTAGACGCAACTGATGTGCCCCCTCCCAGCTGCTCTTCCAATGCCTTGTCTGCCAGGAATCTGGCTGGCCTGTGCTGTGTATAAAACCTTAACAGCCCACCTTATCCCAACGCTAGAGTCTTCTAGGACTTGTCGCACTCTTACTGCCCTGCCTCCAAAGAGAATTTTACCTGGACTTCTCGCGTTGTCCTTACTTTTTCATGGTGTCTGCTTTGTTGTTGCTTCTCAAATCTGACCATGTATTAGAGTCACTTGGACTTTTTTTGCGGGGGGGTTGGGGGAGCGGCATTGAGATAGGGTCTCACTGTGTAGCCCAGACTGACTTTGAACTCACTTTGTAGCGCAGGCTGACCTTGAACTCCAAGGCAGTCTTCCTACCTCAGCCTCCCAAGTGCTAGGATTTCAAGCGCTTGGGCCACCACACCTGGCCTTCACTTGGACTTTTAAAAATACCTGTAGTTGCCGTTGTGGTAGCGCATGCCTGTAATCCCAGCACAACGATCCCAGGAGGATCACTGCAAGTTCGAGACCAGCCTGGGCTACAAAGTGAGCTCGAGGCCAGCCTGAACTGCATCGTGAGACCCTGTCTCAAAAAGACCAAAAAAAAAATACCTGCAGTTGATCTCCATCCCAAACCAGTTAAAACTTGTCTTGGGATAGGGACTAAATATCTCGCCAAGGGATTCTTGTATGAAGATTTAAAACTACTGTTTGACAAACTAATCTGTACTAATAGAAAAGGGTTATTTGTCTTGGTAATAATAGATGAAATAACTAAATCCTTAACTTTGCTATATAAACTGGGAAACACTCAGAAAAGAAACTACAGGCTAGAAAAAGTAATCCAAGGAAGGGGGGTTTACAGAAAGGGGGGACCCTCTTTTGCTCTTCTTACTATTCTGACTCACAGTTGTATATACTTCCCCAAAACACAGGACAGGTGCCAGGGATGCCATGAAAGTAAGCACCCTTTTAATAGATAGATAGATAGATAGATAGATAGATAGATAGATAGACAGATAGATATTTTTAAAAGATACACCCTTTTAAAAAAGACAGATAGATATTTTAAAAAGAAGATATATCCTTTTAAAAAATAGACAGATAGATAGATATTTTAAAAAGAAGATACACCCTTTTTAAAAATAGACAGCTGAGAAACTATCTTGAAGATACCAATAGGTAAAATAACAACCACTGATAATTTCCTACCACTTTGTCTGTAATTCGGTAAGTCCCCCTATTACTGTTATCCTTTTTTACTCTTTAAAATTTAAAAAAAAAATAGATAGATAGATAGATATTTGAAAAAGAAGATACACCCTTTAAAAAACGTTTTTGATGCACACTGTACCTAAATTGGGGAACCCCTGAAAATTGGCAGTGAACAGAATAGAACGAGTGAACCTATTTCAGTCCTCATGATCGTTAGATTCATGATTTGCCTATAGGGCACTAGGTTTAGGCAGCCACTGACATCACCTTGTATTGTGCATTCCGACTAAAGCCTCACTTGGAAAGAATGGTGGCGTTAAGGGTCAGGCAGAGTCCAACCATGCCTGCAGCCCATGCCAGGGGTGAGTAGATTACCACCTCTTGGCCAAACCTAGTCTCCAGCGTGTTTTTGTAAATCAAGCTTTCCTGGCACACCGGCACGTCCATTCATTTCTATATGCGTCTGGTTTTGCTTTTGTACTACATTGGCAGGGTGTAATAGTTACATGGTTCCTAAAGCCTAACATATTTATGATCTGACCTTTGATATAAAAAGCTTACCAACCCCTTGACTAGGTAAAGCTACTTGAGGTACTTCTTGATTGCCTCCTGCAGGATATAATTGGAAGGAATTCACCTTTGCTCTCTAAAAGACTCCTAGCCAGTAGCAGCAGCATTATGGGCCTTTTGGTCTCTGGCACCCTTCCTCTCCCCAGTTATCCGGGAAGTACTGAAATGTATGAACTGCTTTCTTCACTCTGGATCTCTGCCACAAACAGGTTCTGCTCACTCTGCCTGAGCAGCACCGGGCCAGCTATTCCCACCTGTCCTCCAGTCCCCTGCTCATGTTGGAGCAGCTACTGATGAACATGAAAGTGGACTGGGCCACTGTGGCCGTGCAGACCCTGCACCAGCTGCTGGCTGGACAGGAGATTGGCTTCACAATGGACGATGTTGACTCACTGCTCTCCAGATATGCAGGGAAAGCCCTGGAACTCCCATACCCTCTGAGGGAGAAACGATCAGGTAACTGCCAGCATCCTACATGGCTATTCTACACGGAGGGGGAAATACCATGCCGCGCTCTTAGATTTAATTTTCTCTTCTTTCATTATTTTGGGTTGATCAAGAGTGAAAGGAGTACACTTCAGGAGAGATAGCCCTGTCTTATATCAGAGACAGGCCTTGTTTGTATATCTTGCTCTTGGAAGAAGTAGGAGACTAAACAGAATTAAAGGATGGCAGATAACCACTGCCCTCATGACAGCATAAAGGCTCAGGGAAGCAAATGTGCTGGAAATGATCTCTGTCTAGCTTTGACACAGTGGAATTTCCATTGCCACCCTTCTTATGGAGAGTCACATGAGGTAGCATTTGTTTGCAAGCTGACACAGCCTCTTCTGGAATGAAAGAAATGAGCAGGGCATGGTGGTGCATGCCTGTAATCCCAGCACTCGGGAGGCTGAGGCAGGAGGATTGCTGCAAGTTCAAGACCAGCCTGAACTGCATAGTGAGACCCTGTCTCAAAAAGACAACAAATAAAAATTTTTTTTAAAAAAATGAATAAGTATGGAAAGTGTCTCCCATTTTCCTCTGACCCTTTTTAGATTTATTTTGTAAAATCCTAGTGTCTGCCCCATTATTTCATGTGCCTAACATAGCTTATATTTGTAGGAGTTTAAGAAACATGTATATTCTTAGCTTAGAAGTACCTTTGCCATTTTCTGTATGCCTGATAAATGCATGGTGTGACAGTCAGGAAAGCCAGCAGCACTTTGAGCTAAACGGCCTGCACACTGAGTAAACACGCTTAGCACATGCTTATAGTGGACAAATATTTTTTCAGCATTTTCCTTCTCAGCAGATTCTGTGATTCACCTCCAGGAAATCGTTCATCAGGCTTCCGACCCTGAGACTCTGTCTAGATCACCCTCAGCAGAGTTCGTTGCTGCTGCTCCTGGTAAGAACCAGTTCTGTGAATCACTCATCTTTAGTTCAGTTTTGCTTTATTCTGATTTTTTTTATTCTTTTGCTTCTTTCAGCATTTCCATTTACAGTAGTCTTATTGTTTTTTGTTTTTTGGGGTTTTTTTGGTCAGGGTTCATTCAGCTTTGTGTATCCCCTTTGTGTATAATCATCTCTTTTTGTCTGTTTGAGACAGGGCCTCATTATTCAGTTCAGGCTGGTCTTGAACTCACTTTGTAGCCCAGGCTGGCCTCAAACTCGTAACAATCTGCCTGCCTCAGCCTCCTGAGTACTGGTATTACAGGCGTGCACCACCATGCCTGGCATAATCAACTCTCATTAATTACAATGTGTATATACAGTCTCCACAAGCACTAAATTAATCCTGAACTATTGATCCAAGGGAAAACACACACGCACATTTGACACTGGTTATACTTTTTAAATCCTAAAAATAACTCATCCTAGTAGATTCTGTTTTCTTTATTTTACAAAAGAGGAGGTTCAGAAGTGACTTATCTCTCGGGTTCCAGAATTGGGATTCTAACTCCAGAGTTGGCCCTAAAACAAGACCTCCTTATACTACCTACTCCTCCTTCCTCTGGTCAGTCACATGAGAGCCGAAGCAAGATACAGTGGGCTCTCGTGCCGTCTTTTCTTACAGAGGGTGTTATTCCCAGGGTCACATCAGGTAGCGTTTCTATGTGAGCTAACACGGCCTCCTGTGGAATGGAAGGAATGAAGTAAGTATGGAAGGTGTCTTCCATGCAGTCCTTGTTCAGTTTCCAGTGAGACCTGAGTGTTGAGCAGCTCAACACTGAGGTCCCAACACTTTTCACCTCTGTGGGCATGTCCGTGAATGACCATGAAACGCTGCGAGTATTCACACAGACTTGAGCAAACAGGGAAATTTACAAATATGGAAACTTCCAATGATGAAGATTGACCGTATTTAACCTTACGTGAATTCTCATAACCTATATAAAAAACAACCTTCTTAAAAGCCTCAGCCACATTTTGGTCCCCCTTTTCACCACCCTACCTTTCCTGCCTCCAGCCCCTGCAAAATGGCCCACCCTCAGGAAAAGCCCAGCAGCTGCTCTGCCAGATGGTCAGGCCAGCAGGATTGGGGTGGGGAGACTTTTTTTATGAGTAGTATTAGTAGTCGCTTTGTTTTTCAGTTCTCTTTTTCTGTAACTAGCCACAGTTGGTTTGCCAGATGAAAGGGAATTTCCTTAGCAACCATAAAGCCAAGACTGTGACACTTGGTGGCTATGCTTTGAGAATTAGCCTTGCTTCACAATAACCAGCAGAACTGAGGGGAGGACCCAGGCTTGCAGGTTATATGACAGCTTCATGCACCTACCTAAGGCAGCCTGAGCAGCTTCGGCGCGCACATGCAGGTGCGCATGCGTGTGCGTGCGTGCGTGCGTGCGTGCGTGTGTGTGTGTGTGACCTTTTTGTTAGGGAAAGTTTGCAGTGTACAAAAGAAAGAGTAGTATACTGAGGTCTCACACACTAGTCACCCAGTAATAATAATTATCATCTCATGATGACCATTCTTGTTTCACCTATACCTGCATCTTCTACTGGATTCTTTCCACATATCTCGCATATATCATTAATTTGTAAATGTTTCAGCATAAATTTCTAAATGTAAGGACTTTTATTTTTTTAAATATCATTATCATACTTAAAAACAGATTAATAATGATTCCTCATTACTATGCAGTATCCTGTCAGTATTCCAATTCCCAGTTGACTCCCCCAAAACTTTTTTTATGATTGGTATTTCTAGAATGAAAATCTAAATAATGTACACACATGGCATTTGGCTAAAATATCTCTTACATCTTTTTAAATTAATAGGTCACTCTACTTCTTTTTATTCTGCCCACCTTCTTCCCTGCCTACTTTCCTTATCTTATGAAGGAATGTAAGTTACTTGTCCTGTGCAGCCTCCGACATGCTGGGTTTTGCTGGTTGCCCCTTTTTTTTGAGACTGGCTCTCACTACCACCTGACTAAGGCTAACCTTGAACTCACTATGTAGTTGAGGCTGGCCTCGAACTGAAGGTAATTCTCCTGCCTCAGCTTCAAAAGTGCTGGGATTATGGGCATATGCCACAAATGCCTGGTGACAATCTGCCCCCTGATGACAATCTGATGATCCCTGAATTTCTGGTACTGTACACTGCTAGTTAGATCTAGAAGCTTAATTCAGGTTTACTATTTTTCAGTGATTATATTTGATAGGTTTTGTTTTGTTTTGTTGTGTACCAGGAATCAAACTCAGGACCTTGTGCTTGCCAGGCAGGCGCTTATGTTGCTGAGCTATAGCCCCGGCATTTGATAGGTTTTTTTTTTTTTTTTTTTTTTGGTTTTTCTCCGGTACTGGGAACCGAACTCACGACCTTGCACTTGCCAGGCAGGCGCTTTTGCCGCTAAGCTAAATCCCCAGCCCCTGATAGGTTTTGTTGTACATTTCCAACAAAAGGCACACAATGTCCCATTGCCTCTCTTTTGTGACAGAAGCAGCCATTGCTGATCATCAACTGGGCCTCTGATTTCAGTAGGTCTTTGTACAGTGATGAGATTCTATCTTTCCTTTTTCATTCTAAACTGGACTATTGATCACCCTTTACTCTGACCCCTGGCTCCCAGGTGTCTCCATTGTGCATTCCCCCAGCCCAAGGGAGAGGAGCCTCCCTCAAAGTCAGCCCCAGCTGGAATTTGTGCCCCCAGCCATGCCTCCTGCCAGGCACCAGTGGGTGCCAGACGAGACCAAGAGCGTCTGCATGGTCTGTCACAAGGAGCACTTCAGTATGGTAAGTGGCAATGTTCCTTGGATCACTGGAGGAAAGGAAACGAAGCTTGGAGTTAAGAGCCTGAGCTGCTAGTCCCCTCCTGTTCCCCGGCGGATAACAGCATTTTCAGAAGAACTGTCCAGCCTAAGACTTTGGGTTTACCTTGACCTGACCCAAGTGTATTTTCTGGACTTGGTCACGTGGTGGACATCCTCAAATAGCTTTAAATGTTAAAATCTTTCCCATTCTCATGACATATTGAGAAAAAATAGAGGAGAAACACCAAGTGTTAGGGTCTTCTTTCTAGTTCCCGTATCTTTCACAATAAGCTTGTAGTGTTTATATGTGCTGGCTCAGGAGAAAGAGGACCTGTTTCCTAATCCTGGCTCTGCCTCCAATAGCAATATGACTAAACCTTTTTCAGGCTATGTGTCCACTTATAAATGAGAGGTGATAAATTAGTTGGCTCATGCAGCTGTTAAGACTAAATACAGCCAAGCATAATAAGGCACACCTATAATCCCAGCACTTGGGAGGCTGAGCAAGAGATCACTGAGTTCGAGGCCAGCCTGGGCTACACACTGAGACCCTGTCTCAAAAAAAAAAAAAAAAAAAAAAAAAAACAACTAAATACAGTAACAAATGTTACCACACTTACCATAATATCTGCCTGGCAGATCAGCTCAGTGCTGAGGAAGCAATACTGATGTGATTTTGCTATAGCTGTTTCTATAAAGGAAGTACATGGTGTCTATCAACCTGTTACAGTGAAATGAGGCAGTACTTGTAAAAGCATTTGGAAAAAGGATACTTTCTTATATCATCATCATCAATATCATGTAGAAATGTGATCTTCATTGGCTTAGAAAGTCACTACTTCCCCATTACTTTCTGCTATTTCCAAAGTTGCCACCAAACACAAGTAAAATTTGTCAGGAGCTACTAAGTGCAAAACATCCATGGCTTGCAACCTTTGCCCACTAGCTGAGGGGTATCTTAAATATCAGCTGGATGAGGGCAGGGGTGGGGGAGGGGGACTCATTTTCAGTAGAGGCCTGAGTACTGTACTTGGTGTTCTTTATAAGCCACAGGTGTTTAAAACCAAGTGTAAATGGCTGACAACAGTCTTATCTTCACTTCCTCCCTCTGTCTTCAAACCCGATGGCACTCCTCAGTTTAACAGGCGTCATCACTGTCGCCGCTGTGGCCGGCTGGTATGCAGTTCCTGCTCCACTAAGAAGATGACGGTGGAAGGCTGCAGAGAGAACCCTACGCGTGTGTGTGACCAGTGCTACAGTTACTACAACCAAGAGTGAGTGTCCTGCAGCAGGGCTGATGCTCTTGTGACCACGGCACCCTCCCCTGGGATCTTCCACATCCGGGCATCTCACTGGGGAGAATGCTTCCAATCTGGAACACTGCACAGAAATATTAACATTCACTCTGCAGTGCCATTAACTGTACAGTGAAATGTTTGGAGGCTGACCTAGGTTTCTGTGTTAGTCGGCTTTGCGTTGCTGTAACCAAATACAGGTGAAAATCAACTTAAAAGGTTTTTTGGCTCATTTTTAGAGAGCCAAACGGGTTTCAGAGGTTGCAGTCCATGGTCACCTGGCTCCAGGGCAGAAACGCCGTGGCAGGAGGGCATGGTGGTCAGAAACTGTTCACTCCATGGCAGCCGGAAAGCAGAAAAAAAGGGAAAGCGGGAGAGGAAGGGGCCAGGGACTGTACATAGTTCCCAACGTCATGTCCCCATGATCTGCTCTCTTCCACTAGGCCCCATCTCCTATGTCCAGCATCTCCCAATAAGTCCATCAAAGCGTGATCTCACCAATGAATCACTGATTCATTCAGAGTCCTCATTATCCAATAGCTTCCAAAAGCCCCCCCTCCTCTGAACATCCGGGCTTTTGGAGGGACCATAAGTCGCAGAAACTACTAAGAGGAAGTAGGGATAAGAGGAAGCAGTGTTCAAAGTTCTTATGTGCTGTGTTGTCTGAAAGCGGAACGCGGCTCTTCGCCTCTTCTCCGGTCTGAGATAAGGATCTTTCTTCACCCTTTACTGATTTTCTAGCCACTCCTGCTTCACGCGGTCTCATCTGACTGAAAGGGACGTGTCCACACCTGCTGGCTGTTCAGGCATCACTTGCATCAGATCCAATCTGAGTAGTCCTGCTGGCTTGCTGCTACAATTAGACCAGCCCTTATACTTTCCCTAAACATAATACACCTGCAGACAAATATCACCAGCTACTCCTACCACTGGCAAGACAGATCGAGATCATATTTACTGATTCAGTCTTGCTAAACTTTCTCCACTTCTAGTACCAAACCAACGTGAAACTAAGACTCCTAAAGCACCTAGGAAGATGGGCCAAAGCAACTATTCAAAAGCAAAATTACTTTGAGTTCTCTGTTTCATTGTACTTAATGGACTTAACTAGGTTTTACATTCAGGTCAATAGCATTTTTGTGGGGTGTTTCGTTTTCCAGTACTAGGGATTAAACGCAGGGCCTCCACACTGAGCTATAGTTCCAGCCCTTTTTTTATTTTTTAATTTTGAGACAAGATCTCACTAAGTTATCCAGGCTGGGATCAAACTTGCAATCCTCCTGCCTCGGCCTCCCAAAGTGCTGTAGTTACAGGTGTGTGCCATAACACCCACTTGTGTTTATGTTTTTTTGTTTTTTGTGTGTGTCTTTTTAAGACAGGGTCTCGCTATGCAGTTCAGGCTGGCCTTGTGCTTACTTTGTAGCCCAGGCTGGCCTCGAACTCACAAAGATCCTCCTGCCTCGGCCTCCTTGGTGCTGGGATTACAGGAGTGTGCCACCATGCCTGGCATTGTGTTTACTGTAATATGAACATTTATGATTATTATTTGCCATGATGTTTACAATGGCATAGGTAGAAAGACATACCATGCTTATTCTGCAGTTTCTGTGACCCTAGCACACCATTGCCTCCCTCTGGCAGGTGCACGGCAGAAATTACCCATACTGCTAAGATTTGAAACGGGCAGTTAATAAGGTGGGGGTTCTTTTACCCATAGTCACTCAGCAATAGTCACCTGTCCCTAACTGAGCCCCCATAGTACTGGGGAGATGGCAAACAAACAGGCCACAAGGTGATTGGATAAGTGCATTAGTGCAGCACTCACAGCTTAGCCTTAGTGGTCAGGAGGGTTTCCTGGAGGTAACCCTTGGAGGATGAGCTTCAGAGAATGAGGAGTTGGTCAGAAAAGCCAAAGAGAGCACATGCAGGTGGAAATAACACCAAAGGCAGAGGCAGGAGAAAAATGTGGATGGTGCAGAGAACTGTAAGTAGGTGGATGGGGAGCTGAGGTTCTGGTCAGTGGACCTGGATTTAACCACTGGTAGCTGAATTGGGAGGACTTAACTGACGGCAGAAAAACTTTGGGCTTGCGCTGTGCTGTCACTGGCTGGAGCTGCCCAGGAGATTCCTCGTACAGGGGACGGACTGGCTGCGACTGTGGCGCCGGGGCTCAGCGCTTGGTAGCAGCGGCAGTAGTTGGCCGGAGGTCGTGGCGAAACAGAGAGGATTTTTATAGCTTGAGCACAGGTCGTGGGTGGCAGGATATGGCCTCAGGAGGGAGCCAGGCCAAATCAGAAAGTGTTTTGTCTACTGCACTGTGAGTGTAGAATATTTTTACTCTGAGAAGCTAGCAGCTACTGAGCTGATTTTGAGCAGGAGCAGAATGCGATCAGGTTTGCATTTTTAAAAACTTGCTATGGCTGCAAAGTAGAGAACAGGTGGACAGCACCAAGGAAGCCAATGGGGAGGCTCCTGGAGACTGCCGCAGTGAACGATGCGGGCCTCGCGGGGGCAGGAACAAGAAAAGGGTGCGTAAGAGATGGAACGGTGAGAGATCGGCTGTCACAGATGAGGGAGAGAAAGGGGTTATGGATGGTTCCCTGGTATCTTACTTCAGTAAATGTCTGTGCCATATAGTTTTTTGGTTTTTTTTTTTTTGGTCATTTTGAGACAGGGTCTCGCTATGCAGTTCAGGCTGGCCTTGAGCTCACTTTGTAGCCCAGGCTGGTCTCGAACTCGCAACGATCCTCCTGCCTCAGCCTCCCGAGTGCTGGGATTACAGGGGTGCGCCACCATGCCCGACTGTGCCATATACTTAAAGAGGGAAAGGAGGGATTCCAGCGTTTAATTTGTCTTTCTGTTTCCAGCACATCAGAGGAGAATCCAGGCCAACCAGAAGGTGAGACCTAATTCTTTGTTTATATGCTCAGAACTGGCTCTATCTCTGTATCTATTAATATTAATACACTGATGAGTAACTCCATCCAACTTGTTTGCCATAGAAAACTCTTGACCTATATCACCCTCTTTCCCTTACACTCATCGTGTTAACCTATCACAGGGCCCATTACCTAACGACCCATTACCTCCCAAGGCCATGTCCTGCCACCCATGACCTGTGCTCAAGCTATAAAAGTCCTCTTTGTGTTGTTACCAGCCCTGGCCAAATTGTGGTGCTACTAAGTACTGGGTCCTAGTGCCGCAGTCAGAGCCAAGCTATCCCCTGTATGAGGAACCTCCTGGGCAGCCCCAGCCAGCATTGAAAAGGCCGCAGTTTGGCCTTACTGTTTAGTAGACTGTTTCTTCCCTTCCCATCCAGCCCTCTTCACCAGCATTCTACCACCCGGTACCCCTCCTTCCCCTTAGGTATATTTTTTGGCTACTGTCCTCCATGAGCAGGTTAGTTTTTTGAGTATCCAGTGACTCAGCCTTCCACTTAAGAAGCATGCACCTTTCAGGGTATCTTATGTGAAGCAACAGGGTTGTGACAAACACGGTGATGTTTATCCCAGGTCTACGTCTAGGGAAGGCTTGAGGTGTCTAATGGGGTTTGCTAAGGGAAACAAAAAGGACCAAAGAAAGTTAAAGGACCCTCAGACAACAAGCAATACCTGCCTGCAGGTGACACCAGCTCCCTGGACTAGGCCAGGCTGCACTGCCAGCCAGGGACTGACACACAAGTGACAATTCTCTCCTTAGCACCCGACAGCGCAAAGACTGAAAGCCTTCTCTACTCGGCCATGGTGGAAGTGCCCAAAGCTGCCGAGGTGGAATGGATTTTGAGTCTGAACGGGGAAGAAAACGAGTTGGTGCGGAGTGAATTTTACTACGAGCAGGTAATAGCAATAAAATGTCGTGGTTATTTGAATTTCTCTGTGATGCGGATGGCAGGAAATTCAGAGGTCACTGAACCCAGCCTGGCCCTCCCTTGCTTGCTGGGTAATAGTATGGGAACTAAGACCAGTAAACTAGTTACTGCCACCCAGGCGGAATATGAGCAGCATCTTGGGGAATGCACAAGAGGAGCCTAGGAAAAGCTTCGTGGAAGAGATGGCGCCGGTAAGATGTCAGTGCAAATCACAACTCTTATGTACAGCATTAGCTTTAGGGTTGGTAGGAGCGAGAGGACGGTTAAGCTTCAGAATGCAGTCCAAGAGTTCTACCTAGTAGTTATGAGAATGTTAGTCAGATACAGAAACCAATGATAAATAACTATTAAAAGGGCCTGGGCTGGGGAGACAGCTCAGCAGCACAAGCACCTGCCTGGCAAACACAAGATCCTGAATTCGATTCCCGGTACAAAAAAAAAAAAAAGAGTACGAAGTAGTGGTGTGCACCTCTATTCCCTGTTACTTGGGAGGCTGAGACAGGAGGATCATAAATTTGAGGCCACTTGGGCAAAACCAAAGACAGGACTAAAGATAGCCCAAGATAATTTTGGCCCTTGGTCTCTCTACAATCACACTTTTCTAGTTAGCTAAAAGTCCGCCGGGCTTTCAGTATAGGTGTGACTTCTTCAGAGAACTCCACAAAGGTGCCAATAGCAGCCAGTGCTTTGGCAGTGCCTCTTCTGAAATTTGTTTAGTTCCACTTCAGTTTTGTGTGGAACTTTTGGCTCTGTCCTCCGGGGTTTTTCTGCATTTTGAAATGGAAAAAAAAGTTTATGCCATACATCTGCACTGGAAGAATGCTTTTGTCCCTGAGCTCACTGTGTATTTCTCCCTCCTACCGCCTGGCCAGGCTCCCAGCGCCTCCTTGTGCATTGCCATCCTGAATCTGCACCGGGACAGTGTCGCCTGTGGTCACCAGCTAATTGACCACTGCTGCAGGCTGTCCAGGGGCCTCACCAACCCGGAGGTGGATGCCGGACTGCTCACAGACATCATGAAGCAGCTGCTCTTCAGTGCCAAGATGATGTTCGTCAAGGCTGGCCAGAGCCAGGACCTGGCCCTTTGTGACAGGTACACAAGCCTCCATCCTTGCCCACGGTTGAGTGACACTATGATTTTTCATCGCCCACCCCCATCCTCTGATGAGACACACTAAAATGTTTGCATCTCACCTTGGTGCTGCTGAACTACTACTCCCCTCATCGTAAGCGGTCTTCCTCGCCCTGTCTTGTTGGCCTGTGTTCTTCTCTTTCCCATAGCGTATCCTTAAAGGAGAGTTTCTCTAGTTATCCTGCATCAAAAAGAAAGTAAAGACTGGCTGGTTAATTGGTAATTAAAATCATTTAGGGAAGCACCTTAAATGACTGTGGAACTTTCTGGTTGTTAAAGGAAATGCATCCTCCCCGAATATCCAGTGCTTAGCCTTGCAGAGCTCCACCCAACCCCTGACTGTGATGTCTGGCAGCTCTGGATAATAGATCTGGAGCAGCACCTTGGAGTGTGGTGGGTCCCTAGGTCATGCTAGGAATCTGAGCTGTAAAGTGCAAGTGTCCGTGGAAAAAGCGTGACTGCCTCCCTGAGGTTTTTGCGCAAGCTGCCTTGACTCCACTCATGAACTTGAAAATGAAAACTAATTCCCTGCTCATCCACCCAGACTCATGATTCATGCTGACTGTTCCCAGCACCGGTTCTAACCAGATTTAGGAGTGGGGTGCACAATTGTCTTTGAAGTACAAATGCTGCCCTCAGTCAGATCTTTGTTCAGACAACTTGCTGCAACCCTACCACCTCCCAGCTAACACCTCTGGGCCTCAGCTTCCTCCTCTATAAAATGAGAATGAGGGGCCAGGGATATAGCTCAGCAGCACAGCACCTGCCTGGCAAGCATGAGGTTATGAGTTCGATTCCCACTACCAAAAAAAAAATTTAAAAATATAATACAAATATAAGATGGTTCCAAAGCTGCTTCTCTACACTTTACAAAGTTAAGGTTAAGAATCGCTGGTATACAGAATCCCTTTCCAGGGATTTTTTTTTAACCAGGAATTGAACTCAAGACGTTGTGCTTGCCAGGCAGGCACTTGTGTCACTGAGCTATATCCCCGGCTCTTTGCAGGGAAATTGGTGGCCAATTAGGATCCACAGGATTTTTGGTAGAATTAAGACTCAAGATTCAGGAATGTGGGCTTTTTTCAGCAACACCGGACGGAATGGTCCAGCCCTCTGGGCTCTGTCGTGATAGTGTTTGTAATCCTTGGGTGTCAGGAGTAAGATCACAGAAGGTAATCCTAGCGGGCTGTAAGAAAGGCCTATACTTAGCCCAGAGAAAAGAAATTAAATCCAGACTAGAAGTGGCAGGAGATACTAATGATGAGAACCTGTCTGCCTTCCAAATTACCATGTTTCCAAAGGATCAAAAAGTAACTTGTAGGCCTTTAACATTCAATGGAAAGTTTTGACTTAAACAGAAACTGAACATTCCTAATCAAAAAATTAAAATTTAATTGCTTAAAAAAAAGTTATAGACACTATCCTAAGCTCTTTTACTTGTGGTATTCCATTATATCCTGAAAACTCCCAGATATTATGTTCATTTTACAGATGAGTAAGTTGAGGCAGAAAGGTTAAGAAAGCTGCCCCAGGACACAGAGCTACTAAACAATGGTGCAGGGATTCAAACAGTCTGGCTCCAGAGCTTTCACTTGTAGTATCTATGAGGACAAATAAAAAACAATGGAGAATGTTCAAGTTCTTTAAAAAACTTATTACAGGAAAGACACATGGCCATTAATCCCTCCTTAAAATCCTCCTTCTTACTTTGAACACACTTATCCCATCATTCATGCGGCTTCCTGAAGTAGTTCTAGAAGTCCTTTTTTGGTCCTGGGAATCAAACTGAAGACCTTGCGCTTGCCAGGCAGGCACTGTGCCACTGAGCTATATCCCCGGCCCTGGTCATTTTGATTTTGGGGAAGAGCCAGAAGTCACATGGTGCCTGATCCAGTAAGTAAGGTGGACAAGGACATCCCATAATGTTTTTACAAGTCCTGCTTTCCATTGGCTGGCACTTAGCCACCACATTTACCAGACTATTAGAAGAGGGCTTCTAGAATTGCATCAGAAGGTGACAAGAACAATAAGATGAGTGTGTTTGCAGCAAGGGCAGCGTTTTGAGGGGAATTCGTGGCAGTGAGTTTTTTCCTGTAATGAATTTTTTAGTATAAACATTCCCTGTGTATTTTGATCACTCCTTGTATGCTGTGTACTTCTCAATACTCATCATCCCATTTCACGTTGAAAATGAGATAGAGAACTTTTACAAGGCATTTTAGTAAGACTCTATGGAACCTCACTTGCCTGCCCTTTTTGTCCCTGTAGTTATATCAGCAAGGTGGATGTGCTGAATATTTTAGTGGTGGCTGCCTACCGCCATGTACCATCTCTAGACCAGATCTTGCAGCCTGCTGCGGTCACCAGGCTGAGGAACCAGCTTCTGGAAGCTGAGTACTACCACCTGGGAGTCGAGGTACTTCTACCCCACTGTCGTGGGGTGCCTTTGCTTCACCTTGCAAACAGGTCTTGCCAAGTGGCTGTGGTCCTGACCGCAAGGAGGTGCTAAGGGCATGGCCGGTTTGCCAGCTTGGGCATCGTGGTGAGGGAGGTAGCCAGGAGGAGGTTGGCTGAAGGAAGTGGAATCAGTGTTTGGGAGACTCAGGCTGCATGGTGGTAACTCTCACTAAAAGGAGTCTTTTTTCTCCCAGGTCTCCACAAAGACTGGGCTTGATTCCACTGGGGCATGGCATGCTTGGGGCATGGCCTGCCTCAAAGCCGGGAACCTCACTGCAGCCCGGGAGAAGTTCAGTCGCTGTCTGAAGGCCCCCTTTGACCCCAACCAGCTGAATCATGGCTCGAGGCTGGTCCAGGATGTGGTTGAGTACCTGGAGTCCACAGTGAGGCCCCTTATTTCCTTGGTGAGAGCAAAGCGGGCAGAGCGCCCGGCTGGGAGAGGGAAGCGCAGGAACACGCAGGCCCCGGGGACGGGGATTGCCTTAAATTCAGCTGACAGTGCCAGTCCTGGCTCAGAGGTTGCTAGCTTGCTATTTTGCCTTTTTTCCATTACATATAGTTAGATGAGTAATTATGTGGGTTAGATAAGAATTAGAGAGCCCCTCCTTTTTTAAAAAAAATAAGCAAAATACAGAAAACCTTTCTTTAAAAAAATGCAGATCATATGTAATCTCATGCCCAAACTACTTTTTTAGAACTGGGCACGGTGGTGCTTGTCTGTAGTCAAAGCTTCTCAGGAGGCTGAGGCAGGATTTAAGACCAGCCTGGGCAACATAGCAAGACCCTACATCAAAAACAGAAAATATTGGACCTGGCATGGTGGCACATGCCTATAACCCCAGCACTTGGGAGGCTGAGGCAGGAGGATCATTGCAAGTTTGAGACCACCATGGGCTACAAAGTGAGTTCAAGGCCAGTCTGAACTGCATAGTGAAACCCTGTCTCAAAAAGGGGAAAAAAAAAACAGAAAAGATTTTTCTGTGTTTTATTTGTTTGTTTGTTTGGCAGTACTGAGGGTTGAATTTAGGGCCCTTACACTGACCTACATCCCCAGCCCCTTTTCTTTTTACTTTTACTTTGAGATAGTATCTCACTAAGTAGTCAAAGCTGGGACTGAACTTAAGAACCTCCTGCCTCAGCCTCCCAGAGTGCTAGAAATATACTCAAGCGTCACCATGCCCAGGTAATACAGAGAATTTTATATTCATCTATTTTTGTACTCTTAAAACTGGAATGTGAGCATCTTCCCACACTTAAATGTCCTTTGGAGGTGTTATTCATTGGCTGCTGATTACTTACTGATCTCCATTTTTTCCTTCTCTCTCCTTTTCTGGCAGCAAGACGACGATTACTTTGCCACCTTGAGGGAACTGGAAGCCACCCTTCGGACCCAGAGCCTCTCCCTGGATGTGATTCCCGAGGGGACGATCACAAGCAACACTTACTACCAAGAATGCCTGTTCTACCTGCACAGCTACAGCACCAACCTGGCCATCATCAGCTTCTACATGAGGCACAGCTGCCTCCGGGAAGCCCTGCTGCACCTCCTCAACAAGGTGGGACTCCAGGGCTCGGCCACAGGGGGCCGTGCCTCCTCCCCCACATCGCTTGGACTGCCTTAGGCTTACAGAGGCGTCGAGCTGTGAGAGCAGCTCTGGCAGAGTCAGGTCGAAATGGAAGACTCTGCCAACACAGTCACTGGGCAGTGAGTGTCACAACCCTTAAATCAGGTCCCAAGTCGCTGTCCTGTCTGACAGCGGCTAATTCAGTCCCTTTTCCCGAAACATGTAGCAGAATCAGAGCATGATCCCTGGAGTAAGGTGCGTAGTGTGAGCCTCGGGCACACTGCCGAGCCCGTCCTGCCGCCTCCCACCGGGCCTGCGGTGTGTCTACTCAGAGTTGTCCCCCAGGCGGACCATGAGCATCATGAAAGGAAAGTGCGCTCTGCTCGTCTGTCTTCGCCTCCTCTGCCCTCCTCCGCTCGAGGCAAAGGTGCTGCTGAAGTGTAGAGTTTCTTTGGCACCACTGATAAGCAATCAGGACTCCATTTCACCATGACCATTTGGCCTTCCTTCTTTCTTTGAATATTTCATAACTGAGAAATGGGTGACTCGGCAAATTTCATAGAAAATTAATGGAGTTCAAGGTAAATGTTAGTATCATTTGGCTGCCCTGAATCAAAAAGCAGCTAGTGGGTTCACAAATAGACTTGTCTTCTAGGATTCACAGAACTGTGGCTATCACTTGGAGCAATCCAAGGAGGGTATCAGACCTCTTCAGGACAGTGGTAGGGAAATGTTTTTGCCATGGCTTAGCTACCAACCGGGTCTCAGGAATCATGAGGAAGTCTTGTTATGTGGAATTTAATTGCCCACTTTTTCCCTTTTGCTGCTTCCAAATGAGTTTAAGATGCTTCTCCTACGCACAAATTGAGAGTGGAAATCATCCAGTCCTGTTTCCCCGGGCAACCGTAGTCCAAAGAGTTAAGCTGCTTTCCTAATCGTCTTAGTGGGAGCTGACGACAGCAGTGCCCCTATTTCGTGTTTCTCAGAGCTAGGAAGAAACCTTCTTTTTATCTGCTATAATCACAATTACCCTTGAACTGAACCTTACCTTTATTCTTACTAAACCTTACCTTTATTCTCTGTAGCAGAATCAGAGCATGATCCCTAGAATAAGGTACACAGTGTGAGGTATGACTCAGGTAAAGACTCAGAAAAATACACTGCAGAAGTGCCATCTGAGTGTGTAGGGTATGGAAGGTGGTCTCTTTCTAGCCTGTTCCCTGTCTCTACTGCCTCTCTGCCCTGCTCAACACTTCCTGAAATATTAGCATTCACGCCATTCTCCTTCCTAAAGGCTTCCAATGGATTCCCACTCCACAAGATGAAGTCCAAGTCGTTTAACATGCTACAGGACCTCCCAGGGCCCAGCCCCCACATGTCACTCTACCACGAACTCTATCTCTACCCCACGTTCCAGCCTCAGCAAGCTACCTAAATATTCCTGGTTGTATCATGCACTAGATTAGCTCCATAAGTCTTAAAATAGACATTAAACAGAAAAGTGGCAGGACCGGGATCTCGGTGGACGCGGCAGGTGGAGGTAGTGGCTTCGGTCGCTGTGATACAGTAGAGGCAGTGAGAAGTGGTCGGCATCTAGGTGTACTTTGACAGGAGAGCCAGTAGGACTTGTTGATGAATTTGATGTTGGCATTTGGGGAGAAACAGGATTCTAAGGTTTTTGACCTGAACAACTAGAAGAATGATATTACTGTCTGAGAAAAGGAAGGCTGGAAGGAGCAGGTTTTGGGGAACAAGAAGGAGCAGTTTCTGATGTGTTAAAGTCCAGGACTTGTTGGGGAGGCCGTCGGCTGTCAGTTGGGTATACAGTTCTGGAGTTCAGGCGCACAAGCAAGCTGGGATAGGGACTTAGGCGTCATCAGCACACAGACGGTACTTCAAGTGTGAGACCAGATGAAGCCACTGAGAGAAAGGGTACAGACAGAGAAGAGAACAGTTTTGTCCTAAGCCCTGGGAAGACTGGGAGAAGTCAGCAGAAGAAATTGAGAAGGCGTGGCCAGCAGTATAAAGAAATCCTAGAGAGCTGGTATCCTAGAGGCCAACTAAAGGAAGTTTTTCTTAATTAAAATTAAATTTTAACTTGGGCATGGTAGTTTATGCCTGTAATCCTAGCTACTGGGGAGCTCTGGCAGGAAGAGCGCAAGTTCAGGGCCAGTGTGGGCAACTTAGCAGGACCTTGTCTCAAAAAAGTAAAGGTCTGGGAATGTACCTTGGTGCTCCCTGGGTTCACTCCCCAGTAACAGAAAATTCATTAATCGATTGAAATAAAAACTGAAGAGTTTCCAAGGAGGAGGAAGTCATCTTCTGTATTAAAAGCTGCTTCCACAGCTGGAGGTACAGGTACAGGTCAGTGGTAGAGAGCATGCCTGCTACACTCTGGGTTCTGTCCCCGCATGGGGGGTGGGGAGACACAGCTGCTCATAGATCAAGTGGAAAGGGAGACCAAGAATTAACTGTTGGAATTAAATTAACATTTTTAAGGGTCCAGAGGGACCTAAGTCATGGTTTCCTCAGAGTTTGAGCACAAAAGATCAAACAGAGTGGGTTCAAGAGGAAATCCCAGGAAAGAAAGTGGAGATAGTGAGTGTAGAAAACTTTAGTCAAGGAGCTTTTCTGTAGACAGAAGAAAAGAGAAGGTCACTTAGAGTGGCTGTGACACACAAAAGGTCAGGAAGCTCTACCCTAGGGAGAGGCTGGAGGGACAGGAGTGGGTGGAAATTCAGAGTGGATCCCAGACTGTGCCCTAACCAGGCTCCAGACTTTTGACTTCTCACCTTGCCCTACTCCAGGACAGTCCTCCAGAAGTCTTCATAGAGGGGATTTTCCAACCAAGCTACAAAAGTGGGAAGCTGCACACTTTGGAAAACTTGCTGGAATCCATTGATCCAACCTTGGAGACCTGGGGAACATACCTGATTGCTGCCTGCCAACATTTGCAGAAGAAGAACTACTACCACATTCTGTACGAGCTGCAGCAGTTCATGAAGGTAGTAGCAGCCCATCTTCCCCTCTGTAGCTGAAGCCCTGCCGGGCTGTGCCAGGGGAGGGAACGGCCCTGCTCCTTGATCCCTGGCCTTGCTGTTTGACCCTAGAGCAAGTCCCTCTTGCTTTCCAGCGTGGTTAAATAATTCTAAGATTTCCCCATAACCTCAGAGGCAAAGCTTACTCTTGTCTTTAACGCATTCTTCAGAAATCAAAGAATGTAAAGGTAAAAATGATACAGAATGCAAAAGGTGTAATAGTGTCTTTAGAGAAAATGTGCAAAGGGAGAAGGAATGAGGTTCTCCTCGTCTGTCTGAGGCTTGGCCAGTGCTAAATCAGGGAGAAATTGAATTATTCAGTGTTGTTAAGAGGAAAGCCCTTGTGACTAGAGAATCAGAAATGTCCTTTTTTAGGTCACTTCAGTAGTGAGCTAACGTTCCACTGAAGAACTCAGCCTGTCATCTCCCACTAGGATTTCTTGGAGTGAATGACACTAAATATCAGTTCAGCTGGTGATAGAAGTGGATAATGTTGCATCACAAGGCAGGAAAGAGGAGCAGGAGAAAAAGATAGAGACATCTGCAGGGTCCAGATCATGCAGCTCTGCGGGGTCCAGGTCATGGGTGGGGCTCAGACCAGAATTCTCATCTCACCGCAGCTCCCAGCTTCCCTGATCTCTTGACACGAACATTCGTTTTCCTCTTCCAGGACCAAGTCCGGGCCGCCATGACCTGTATTCGGTTCTTCAGTCACAAAGCAAAGTCATATACGGAGCTGGGAGAGAAGCTCTCATGGCTGCTTAAGGCCAAGGACCACCTGAAGATCTACCTCCAAGAAACATCCCGCAGCTCAGGAAGGAAGAAATCCACCTTCTTCCGAAAGAAGATGACGGCAGCTGACGTGTCCAGGTAGCTCAAGGCAGCAGGGATAATTGATGCAGGGCAGGAGGACTGGGTTGAGTGTCTGTGGGCATAAAGCTGCTCTCACCCATTCCCTGAACCCTGAAAAAACACATTTAAAAGCAATCATCCTTGCTCACCTATATCTGATATAAGCCTGGAAAGCCACAGAGGAGCTTGTTGGGGGAGCAGGGAGTGGAGGGAGGCGTAGGATCACCTCCCACAACCAGATGAAACTTCACACTTCTGAATATGGGGGAAAAAAGAGTCTCGTAATCTCTCCTCTGTGACCTGGTCGTCATCTCAGTTATGTGCCCCTCCCTTCTTCGCTAAGTGCCAGTCGCTGGCATCCTGAGGGCTCCTCAGCACAGCCAGCCCTTTCTTCTCTCTGCTGTCATGCTTGCTGGTCGCTGTGCTTGGGACACTAAGTCTAAAGCAAATGCCCTACCACTCCCCACTTCAGTGGCTTCATCACTAAGTGAGTTCTGCCTTTGACACTGCTCGTCTCTCCTCCAGCCTTTGAACTCTGTGAGGGCAGGGCTCATGCCACTGTAGACCTCTGTTGTTGTACCTGGCACATAGGTGCCGAGTAGATACTTACCGATTCCATGAGAGGCCCTTGTCCAGTTCCATGGAGCAGCTGAGCCCCTATGTATCCACGTGGGGTACAAGGCTGCCCCTTTTTACGTTGCTGCTCAGCAAGTGTGTGAGGTCCCTTGCTTCCTCGTCATTCCTTTTCCCTTGCCCTTGCCGTCTTCTCATGCTTCACAGTCACGGGGCCCCCGGCACCTCACCTCGGGAGGGTGGGCCATGCATATCCTGTCCCCGCAGGCACATGAACACACTTCAACTGCAGATGGAAGTGACCCGATTCTTACATCGGTGTGAGAGTGCCGGGACTTCTCAGGTCACCTCTTTGCCTCTGCCAACGCTCTTTGGAAATAACCACATGAAAATGGACGTTGCCTGCAAGGTAAGTACAGTGCCTACCTCCAGCTGGCTGCCTCTGTCTTTCAGGGAACTGAGCACAACCGTGATTCTCTGATTATTTCAATTGTTTGTTTGGTATCTGCCTCCGCTGAACCCACCACTGAAATGTAAGCCATAGATGGCTGAGGATCAGGTCTTTTGCTTTGCTTTGCTTTGCCTTGCCTTGCCTTGCCTTGCCTTGCCTTGCTTTGCTTTGCTTCACTTAGCTTCACAATGCCTTGAACTTACAATCTTGCCTCATCCTCCCACGTGCAGGGATTGCAGCCATATGTTGAATAGTCCAATAAGTGGGGGTCCTCATTCTTTTTCAAGGGGCTTTCCTAGTAATTATTGCCTCCTTAAGCAAGTTTTCCTCTTTTTTTAGGTCATGTTGGGAGGGAAAAATGTAGAGGATGGCTTTGGAATTGCATTCCGTGTTCTGCAGGTATGACTTGGATGATCTGAGATTATGCCAAAGGCGGTGAGCCCCTGACCACATTTCCATGAGACAGTAATCTTTAGACAGTGTTTATTCCAAGAAAAGCAGATTTGTGTGTACCTTAAGGATAAAATCAGGGTGGCTGTCATAGAATTGGGTCAAATGCAGGATTCTGTATGACTTTGGCAAATAAAGTTACCAAATCAGTACCTTTTTGGTACCGGGCCTAGGCCAGCTCCCCACAGCCGTTTCCCTGCAGAACCACTGCCCACCTTCTACTCTATAGGAGCTGGCTCTAGAAGCGTATCTTCTGTTGCGTGTGATAAAATCACACGGGTTGGGGCTCTGGCACTGGAGGAAGGGCTAGAACAGGGGACCCTAAGGGGCAGAGTTTCTCCACACCCCCCACAGCCAGCGGGTCCCACACAGACATCCTTGGGGACAGGTTGAGGATTGTCACTGCTCTGGTAGGCGGAGCACAGTGCACATGTCCCAAGGATCCGTGGTCAGTCAGGTGTCTTTCCTGTCAGCCATTTTTAGTGCCCCACAAAGCTCTCCACACACCGGTATGGCTGGTGGGCAGGCAGAGGCTGCACCCCCCACCCCCAGGCTCTGTGGCATAAAGGTTAACCTAGACCAGGACAAAGGTGCTTGTCAACCTGGCAGCTTTCAGCAAAGAGCCTGGAGTCCAGCACAGCCATCACAGTGGGAGGTGACTCAGGAGGGGGAGAATGAACTGGTGTGGGGAATTTTAAGTAGAAGAAAATGAGATGCGCCATTTTAGATACCAAGGCTACAGTTTTTATAGGTGCTCCCTAGATGTCTGCCTGACATTGAGGAGGAGCCTTGTGCTCGTTTTTTGACTGGTCATGTTGGTTTTCTCTTGTGACTGTAATCAACACGGTGTTTTTTACATACCGCCTCCCTTGCCACTGTCAGCGTTCCCTCCCGCCCTACACCCACCGCCATGCTCTCCTCTTCCAGGACTTCCAGCTGGATGCGGCTGCAACTTACTGCAGAGCCGCCCGACAGCTGGTGGAGAAGGAGAAATACAGTGAGATCCGACAACTGCTCAAATGTGTCAGTGAGTCGGGCATGGCGGCCAAAAGTGACGGGGACACCATCCTCCTCAACTGCCTGGACGCCTTCAAGAGAATCCCACCCCAGGTGCGCTTACTCCTACCCTTTTGATTTCTGAGCTCCCTGTAATGCGCCAAGTTCCTTTTATCTTTATGACCCCTCTGCAACAATGGTTTCATGCAAATCAACCCTTTTCTATAAGGAAAATTCATAGCCATGACCTCTGTATCCAAAAGGTGTCCTCCACATCCCCTTGTGTAATGTTACCTGCACCTGGACGTGTCCGTGGACTGACAGTTTATCTGTCAGTGGGCCAGGAGATGGCCTTGGCAGCATGTTGCCTGTGAAATGGGTCCCGACATGACTTCCTTGTGGGGTTAGAGCCACATCCACTTGTGAAGGCCAAAGACTGGCCTCTTGGGAGATATTTGTGCTTCCCAGATTCCTGACTTGGTATTTTCATCAGCTTTCTTCTGTTGCTTTTATAGTAGAAGTGGAGTTTTAAAAGAAGAGGCAGGCAGGCTTCCACACACAGAAGTCACAATGGCGGGCTGAAACTAGCTGGGCCCTGGCTCCCGGGCAGGGGCTCTTCTCCCTCTCACCACTGCTGTGTTTCTTCTGCACAGGAGCTGGAGGGCCTGATCCAGGCGATACACAGCGATGACAACAAGGTAAAGAGAACTAGTGCCGCATGCCGGTGATGCTGGTGGGGCTTGCTCTGTTGGCTTTTCCTTTGCTCCTCATAACAATCCTATACTATCTTGTATCTCAACTTCATTGTCCAGGGGTGAAACTGGGACGTGGTCAGGAGAGAATAGATAGGGAACAGGTGAATGTTGACTGCCTGCCTTTGCCTTCCCAATTGTTTATCCCCCAGGTAAAAAAGCATCCTAAACTACTCTTTAACCTCCAGGTTATACTAAGGTTTCCCGTCAGGGAGTCCTAGGAAATCCCTCACTTCATCTTTAATGTCACTAACTAAAGGAGGCTCCCAAAGAGGACAAATATTTCTTTACTTTGGAAGGAAAAGCCTGCGGTGAGCAACGGCTGATGCAACCTTTTGGCTGGCAGTGTCCGCGGGGATCTCACTCACCAGGATAGGCCTCTTCCCTGGGGTTGGTGAGCTTGTCTGTGTTTGGGAAATGGGTGAACCTTTGCTTCATGCTGCCTTTATGAGGAGCGCCGGCCAGAACGGAAGTATCCCCCACTTCTTTGGTTTCTGGCTGACTATGGGATGGCTCCTCCCGCCGTCTGCCAGAGAATGTCCCCAGGCCAAGAAGCCACCAAGAAAGCCATCCCAAATGGAGCTTTCCTGGCCATCAGCAGAGGAATGTTCTGGCAGCCGAATCTCTCGTGATGAACTAGCTTCTGGCAAACAATTTCTTTATACAACCACAGAGTGGCTCTCCCTGGAAGTACTGCTAATCCCTGGGCTGAATCTGTGGGGCGTTTTCCAATCTAGGGGTTGAAAGGAACATGTTTGAAACATTTTCTCATTGTTTCTGCAACATCCTGGTGATATCCTTGGAAAGGATGAAATTCCGATGTTCTGAAATGGAGGGAATTCCTTTTTTAGAGTCACCTAGATAGCAGGACATGCCAGAACCGCTCTAGTGGCAGGACACCATCTGCACTTGAGCTTAGGGAAGGCTTTAGTGGCCAAGGGGAACAAAAGGGTCATTGTTCTTAGAGAAACAGTCCCCTCGCTATGAGGAGGGGTTGTTGTGGCAGAAAGGCAGCCACCAGTTGAAGCTCATGAGGACCTCACTGTTCCCCAGCCCGGAGCACCTGCTAACCATGGAGGGGCTGGTGAGAGCCAGCCCAATGAGGGGAGTGGCTCTCACCTCCACCAAGCTGCAAATTCATGAGTCAGAGAACATGGGAAATCTATAATGCAAAAATGAGCTGCATCTAAGCCAGGCGTGGTGGCGCACACCTGTAATCCTAGCACTCGGGAGGCTGAGGCAAGAGGATCATTGTGAATCTGAGGCCAGCCTGGGCTGCATATTGAGACCCTGTCTCAAAAAGACAAAAAAAAAAAAGAGCTGCTCCTGATCCAAACGAGAGAAGCCGAGTCAGTCTAACTACTGGGATTAAACTTGGGTGTCTGCCTTGGCTATTGGGTTCTCATTCTGATTCTTAAAAAGATGTGTACTGTTTCTAGACAGTTGTCACTCTTTTTGTAGACTTTTCTCAGCAGCTGTTAGACTGACTGGAGTCTAATTACTGGGGTTAAACCCTTAATTGGATTTTTTTCTAAGTGTGTCTATCCGTTCCAATTCCCCGCCTCCTAATTTCCTGTTAAAAGATTTAAAGTCATCAGGTTGAACACAAAGGAAGAGGGAAGGGAATCAGTGAGTCTGTTGTAGGGGAAAAGTATAGTGCTCTGTTCATTCATCCATTCATTCATGTAATGAATATTCTTTTATGACTATATGCTGAGCACCTTTGTATTTTGAGACAAGGTCTCACCAAGTAACTAAGGTGCCCACACTGAACTTGAATTTGTAATCCTTCAGCCTCTAACTTTTATAGTATAAAATAACACAATGTAGTAGGTTAGTGTCCATACTTTGTTTTTGTACCAGAAATTGAACTCAGGACCTTGCACCTGCCAGGTAGGCGCTTATGCTGCTGTGCTATATCCCTAGTCTAGTTAGTGTCCATGCTATCTAGCAAGTTACTATAATACAATAAGGGGCGAGAACCTAGCTATTAATTTGATAGGTGAGACTCAATATCTGTCTGCCTGAGCTTCCTCGTGCTTCCATGTGTTTGTTGACGATTCTCCAGTGACAGTTTCCTTTCCTCTTTCCCCGCCAGGTTCAGGCCTACCTGACATGCTGCAAACTGCGTTCTGCCTACCTGATTGCAGTGAAGCAGGAACACTCACGGGCCACCACCCTCGTGCAACAAGTGCAGCAGGCTGCCAAGAGCAGTGGGGATGCCGTTGTGCAGGACATCTGTGCCCAGTGGCTCCTGACAAGCCACTCCCGCAGTTCCCATGGCTCAGGCTCCAGAAAGTGACCCTGGGCAGCAGGGCTAGAAAAATGTAGCCGGAGCACTCTGGTGACAGGAGCCATTCCCTCCACTGCTTTCCCGCTGTGGAGTGGGACTCATCTGGCTCTTCCCCAGGTCGGAAAGAGCTGGGCTGGACCCTTACTTGCCTGCTTCGGCAAGGACAGGACCTTTCACGCAAGTGCCATGTTTCTGTGCGGTTGTGGACTTTGTGTGTGTTTATCTGGAGATGGCCAGTTCTTTCTACCTCAGAGTGAGTGAGTGAGTGTGTGCACACCACGCACACCTTGCATGCTCCTGCACACTCATGTTTACGCCCCCAGCATTCTCTGAACAAGTACCACTCTCCTCCATTGAAGCGAGGCACTTTACTTTTGACTTCTGCCTGTCTTAAAACCTTCCCTGCGTTTTGGTTCTTAACCCGGGTTGTCCTATTTGTACACAGCCCCTTCTGGGTGGGCACACTGAAGTAGCTCCTCTTAGCTTGCCGGATTTTACCGAGAATTGGAGAGCAACACCAAAAGGATCGCTTATTTTCCCTTCCCCAAATTCAGAGATGGCTTTGGGACAAGTGCTGTCTCTGGGATAAAACTGCTTTCCAGGTATCTCTCTCCCAAGCACAAGGAGTTGACATGAGTCTTTGAAAGGTAGAAGGAATAGAAGGCTTTCCAGGTACCAGCACCTAAATGCTATGGCTGCCACACGGGCAGGAGGCGTCCCCGCCACATTCATCTGGGGGGTGAGGGGAAGGGAGAGCACACCAAGCAGGGACAGGGGGTGGTTGTTTACTCAAAAGCACAGAGCTGGTGCTTGTGAATGCCCCGCTGCCAAGATGATGGGAGAGGAGAGGGAACTAGTAGCCAGCATCCTAGGTCTGAATGGCCAGACTTTATCTATTTAACCTCCACTCATAATTGTGCCTCTTGAATTGGTTAGGAAATCACTTCCCCTCCCTCCTGCTTCCTTCAGTCTTCTGGAGACTACAGCTGGGCGTGCAGACACCTGGGTCACTGAGACAGCAGTGTACTTCTTTTCCACCTTAACAGAGTCAGGGGCCGGGCCGTGGACAAGAGTCAGAATAAAAGGACAATGATTAGGTCACATGCAGTTGGTAGAAAACTAGGTGAAGTACTTCTTAAATGTGCATCAGCTTGTCTTCCCACCTGAGATGTGACAATACTTGAGGAAATGCACATTATACTCAATGACTTGGGTCTGCAAATGGGGGCCTAAAGAAAAGCTCTGCACCCCTCAGTCCCACCAGCAGGAGCTCAGCCTGTCAATCTCACCTTTGATACTGAGACAAAGACGAACTGGAAGCGGAAGCCACTGTCTCTGGTGCTTAGAAATCCTGTGGAATTCCCTCTGAACCTAGTTTTCTAGTAGTAAAATGAACAACTGTTACGGGCATCTGTCAGGTGGAAAGTAGTCCCATTAGAGGAGAAAGGCTCTAAGGAAAATACCAGATCCCTTTGAGGCGATGTCTGACAGATGACCTTCCTTCCTCGAGTCGGAATGCCCAGGAGAACGTTGTTGCCTGGCGTCCACTTACCCTTCCGAGTCTGCCCTTTTTGCACTGAACCTAAGCACTTTATACAAGTGGATCACAAATCTTGAGGGCCCTGAATTTGGGATGTTATGACCAGATTTTCCTGACATTTCCCTCTAACTAGCTGAACTAGAAAGTCAGCAGCTATTGGTCAGACTGACACAGGTGAGGCTAATGGAACATAACACCATGGTCTCCAGAAAAACAACATCAAACAAATGTACGCGTTGAGGGGTTGAATGCTTAGCCATGAGCAAGTCACAATAAAATGTCTATCCGAGTAGCTTCTTGGCTTCCTGACTGCTTTGTGCTGCTTGCCCTTGCCCCTCCCATCTCTGCCTCGTGTTCTCTGCGGAAAGCAAAGGTCCGTGGGAATGATGAGGTGGCCTTCAACTATTAAACTCTCTCTAAATGAGTCCCATGATGGCTAGTGGCGCTCTGGGCAGAATTTATCTCAAGTTTCCTATGTGTTTAGAAACAATTAGTGTACCTTTACCACCAGAAAACTTGTTTTCTTGGTTTTGTTTGGTTTTTTTCCTTTTTTTTTTTTTTTTTTTTTTTTTTTGTGGTACTAGGGATTGAACTTAGGGCCTTGTGCATGCTAGGCAAGCACTTTACCACTGAGCTACATCCCCAGCCCTGGTTTTGTTTGTTTTGATCTGGGTTTTGTGGGGGGTTTTGCTTTTGATTCAGTTGGGGTGGTGATGGTGGAGATAGGTAATCGATTCATAAGGTATAAAAGGTAAGTGAAAGCCCAGCCCTCTTCCTTCCCAGAGTCCACTAACGTTACCAGGCTCTAACATGCGTCCAGAGCTACTTTCTGCACAAACAAGCATTCATAACTCTAATGGTCCTGGTGGAGATGATCCTCGGTAACTTAAGCGGTTTCTATTGATAGACATTTCAGGTAGTTGTCGTCTTTTGCCACAATAAATTAGGCTGCAGTGAATTTTTTTGCCCAGAATTGCTGGATCAGAAGACATGTGCGTTTGCTAAATAAGGCCAGTCGCCTTCCAAAGAGACTGGAAGAACTGACCCCACCAGCAGTATTGATGGTCCCTGCTTTCCCATAGTCTGGCCAAAGCCATTGTCACAGGTTAGTGATCTTTTCCAATCTGAGGAGAAAAAACAGTATTCAAGCCTTTTTTTAGTGTGAGAATTTCAGGGTTTTCATGCTTCAAATATAATTTTGTATTAGTAGATATTAGTTCTAGAGAACAACAGGTTTCACTTTGGCATATTTGTACATGCAAGTAACATCTGTGGATCATATCCACCCCTCTCCAAAACTTTTCAAGAAGCCGTTTATGATTTCAAAACTCTGTAATCCCCAGGTACTATAAAAATAAGTCCGTAAACTGTGTATTTTTAACATCAACCAAATTGTGAAATTTGGAATCCAGTTGTAAGGAAAACAGAACTCAAAACTGCTTGCTACCCTCTCTGGGCACGATGCAGGATGACACTTGAGCCATGGCAGTAGCGTCGCTAGCAGTATCTCCTTCCCCAGAAACATGATCTCATCCATTTTCTCACTTAAAACAAAATGCTTCAAAAACAAACAATAATTGTGAAAATAAACCTGAAAACATCAGGCGTAGACAGCACAAAGATGGTCACAACAAAGAAAGCTGAGACACCCAATGTAAATGTAGGATGGATGAGCAGTTTAGAAACCTGAGACCTGCCAGAGTTGCCAGGTATCTTTGGCTGGAGCTTAGACAAAGTAGAGCAAAGTTTATTAGACTCTTAATACCCAAGCAGCCAAATACTGTATCAACAATTGCAATAACCCCACGAGAAGTGGCCTTTTCTTGGTCTTCATCCTCTTCCACAGTGTAATGTTTTTTTGTTTTGTTTTTTAATTTTAAAGAGTAAAAGAAGGATAACATAATAATACGGGGGACTTAGCAAATTACAGACAAAATGGTAGGAAA